CACACACACACACACACACACACTGACACACACACAAACATACACACAAACACACACCACACACAAGACACACACAAACACGACACGCACACACGCACACGCACACGCACACACACACACACACACGTACACGCAGACGCACAGGCACGCACACCCGCACTCACCTCCAACGCGCACACTTCCCCAATCTCCCCGCCCCCCCCCTCTCCAAAACGAGCACGCTTCCCCCACCTCCCCTCAACATGCACTCGTACAGAGAACAAAACCCTCGTTGCCGTGCACGGAGAGATGGAGATGGCCCGCGCGAAACGCACCTGAGGTTGACGCATGCTGCACAAACCGATGGCTGATTGACGACCTCGCAGATGCCGCAACTGCGGGGAGTCATCCTGGCGCCCGCCATCGCTTCCTACTCCTTCACCTCCAGCTCTGTACGGTTTCCCCCCCCTGCTTGGCTATGGCCGTGACACTAGACAGGAGCTCAGTTTTGCCGCGCTCGACCAAGAGTCTGGAGAAGGGGGAGAAAGAGAGAGGGGTAGGGGGGAAAGAGACTAAGAAAGAGACGAGTAGAGAGAAGACGGGAAAGGAGAGTGGAGGAGAGGCGAGAGGAGCCGCGAGATAAACCTCGATTCTCTTTTTCACCCCGTGATTATCTCTCGTGTTCCCCGCAATTACGTATGTACCCTTCTCCGCCTGGTCCTAATTTCATTCAAACCGCCAGGACCCCCACGCGCCCAGATATCTCCTTCTTCCACTGTCTCCTTTCTCCTTTCTTCCCGCTAAATTCGTAAAAATAATCGTCATGCTCGCACGTCCGTCCTTCATCTAAGCAGCCGCAATACGTCGACGAAGAAGAGCCGTCGATTTTTATTTTTGTTTTTATTTTTACTTGGTCGGACATGAACGGTGTACGCGACATGCTGACTGCGATAGAACGACCGGTAGTAGCGGCAGCGACCTCCCTCCTCCTCCTCCTCCTCCTTCCCCGTTACAGACACCTCTCTTCCACGTCGTATCCACCTCTCCTCCACGTTACATCCCTCGTCTTCTCCACGTCCTCCACGTCACGCCCACCTCTCTTCCACGTCACGTCCACGTTAGATAGACCGCTCTTCCACGTCGTATCCACCTCTCCTCCACGTCACGTCCACGTCAAGCCCAACTCTCCTCTACGTCACATCAACCTCCCCTCCTCCACGTCACGTGACGTCACGTCACGCTCCCCTCCTCTACGTCACGTCCACCTCTCCTCCTCCAGCTCCCGTCCAACTGCTTCACTGCAGCTGAAGTTCAGATCTCAAACCTCCACCCAAAGCACTACACGCCAGATCGGTTTCGTGTCACTTCCGGGCTACTCTCCGTGCAGCAGCTACGACGCTGTCTGCCCCCGATACATCCTCCGCCCTCGTCGGCGGGCGCCACGTCCCGCGCGCTGCAGTGCGGCAACGTAAGGACCCTCGCTGCTTCCCAAGAGGATTCAAGCCACAGGGAGGCCACAGTTCGAACCCTCGTCGGGAAGGAATCGAATTGCCTGAGGCCGGTCAGTCAGACGATGATACCTCAAGGCTGTCAAAAACGTCCTCAGACCGCCGATACCTGGGGCTAGGTCCCACCAGCAAAGTTGGATCGAATTAACAACCGGAATCTGGACACGTCCTTCGCCGATATGCAGAAGAGCAGATCAATCACCGTGTTCTGCATCTGTCCTCAACAACGTCCAGATTCATTCATTAAAGCCAACCCTTTGTGCTAGTGGGACCTTGCCCCTGCACTTGGTCCAGACCGGAAGGCGAGCGCGCAATCTTCGGAGCAACATAAGGTGCGCGGACAGACTGCTACTGACCACCGCAGGCATAGCTGTGTGCACTGTGAAGTCTGGGGACGGCGAATGGTGTGCACACATCTGCCCCTGGCCCTGGCCCTGGGCTGCAGGGGCCCGTGCATTTCTTTTGCAATCTGCAGGGTTCAATGGCCTAAAATACTGGCGCATATAGATCAGTTGCCCAGGGCCCGGTAGGGGTATATGCAGAAGATGACAGGTCGAATTGGCGAGTTGGATATTTCGCAATACTGTCATAGGGACTTTTCACCACACCCATGCCATTTAGGGATATCTGACGAAATACATGAGCTTTCAGGGGCATTTCAACAATTTTCATCTCGTAAAACAATATCTAACTTGGACAAGCTTTTTTCTTTTTTCTTTTTCAAATCGACTTCGCATTTCATTATGAAAGGAGGCGGGAGTGTGACGGGGTCCGACCGGCGCGCTTCTGCCGGCGTTATCGGACCAAGCGCGGGCGCGCTTCTGCCGGCGTTATCGGACCAAGCGTGGGCCGGCCGGAAACGGTTGGCGTGACTGGCCGTGGGGCCTACCAGTGAGATAGACCCACGGTAGGAGCAGCGTTCGGCACCACCCGCGTCGTCGGGGGTCATAGCGTGTGGCTATGGAGGATGCGGCTGCAGAAGCCCGGTTTCGGACCCAAGACGAGATGACGCGTGAAGAAGTACAAAGGCTCAAGACGCAAGAAGAAGCATAGGAACGGCTTAAAGAAATAGCCACCGAAGAGACGTACCAGCAGAAGCTATCACCAAGCCCGTCAGAATCAGGACTGGGGAAGAAGAAGCAACAAAGAAGAGATCCCGATACAACGAGAGCTCACGAGGAGGGCAATTGATAGAAGTCCCTATGGCAGAAGGGGGACGTTCCACCCCTCCAGCCCCAGAGCAGTTACGAGAAGAAGATGAAGACCGGATCAGGGAGTTAGCCAGGCTGTGCTATGACGAAGGGGTGATGACGACATCGATAGACCCAGGGGAGATGACGATCAGCGGGAGAGAAACGACTTTCAGAGTCAACGAAAGAATCGACCGTACAATGGTGGCTTGGTTGAAGGAACATACCGTTACCTTCATATTTCGAGAAGGAGCTCGATTCCTGCCAAAAAAATTGAAGGATGACATGGCGAGGGCATATGAGGATGAGAGGGTTCAGGATGGGAGCTTGGAGGCAGAAAGGTTCAGAAGGGGAAGAGTGAAAATGAAAAGTCCAAATGTAGTTTCGTATATTGCGAAGTCAGTGGCGGTGTCGGGACAGAAACCCCTGTGAGGGTTTCTGCCCGAGTTTTTCAAGGTCAGACACTGCCCGACCTTTTTTCTGGATTGGGAGATTTTACAAGGTTGACGTTGCCAAAGTTATTCAGACCAACCCTATAACTGAGAGACCTAAAGCCTGACGTCGTTGACGTGAGACGTCATTGACGTTCGATCGAAACAGCGGGAGTCAGTGGTACGACTCGTCGTCCGCGGTTCCCGACGAGGCCGCGGTAGTGTGCAGTCATGGAAAGACTAGAGCTACACCTAGTCTACCTAACAGCCGCGCGATTCAGGGCCTAAGTACGCTAAAGGACTCTTAGCCTTGGAACCTGGCACCGATGGCACCCAGGTTCGGGCGCGTGCTGCAGCAGGGGAAAGAAGACCCTGCTGAGTTTGACTCTAGTTCGACTCTGTGAATTGACTAGGGGCTTGGGGTCGTCCGTTCGGCTCAAAACGACGGGCAACCCCTCACAGAAAAATGAAAGAAAAAGGAAAATAGGGAAGGGGAAGAAGAGAAATGGTAAGTAACAGCCACGTACGTGGACGCTAGGGTAGAGCAGATACAGGGATAGAAAGTAGAAGAAGAGGGGAAGAATGGAAGAGGAAGAAAAAAACAAAACAGCGCGTCGCGAATCTAATCGCGACGCAGGGCCAGATGCAGGGGTAGAAACATCTGGACCCTGAGTTGACAGCAGACTGTTGGATTTCAACAGTCTGTTGGATTTCAACAGTCTGCTCTACTTGACTCTATACAACCATTTTGGGCTGCGTCTGGCCGCGGGTGATGGCCAGATGCATTACCAAGGCATGGAACTTGGTTCCCCTAGGGGAACATCGAGTTTCTCAGCCCTTGATCTCGTCTGAGATCAAGGGTCAGGCCTCACTCCGAGTTTTGGTTGGGGGCAAAGCAGTTGCCCTCAGCCTCCAGCCAGCTATAAAACAGTCAGCAGCCAGCCAACCAGCATTCATTTGTGGCTGGTGCTGCTAGCATTTTGCTTGGGTGAATGCTGGCTGCTGGAGGAGGAGCTGCTGGTGGAGCGAGAGAGAGCTGAGTGGAGGTCTGCAAGTGAGGGAGGAGGATTGCTGGAGGTGGCCATAGTTGTGAAACACAGCCATAGCCGCCATCTCAGCAAGGTGAGGAAAGGAGAGGCTGCCATAGCCACCATGCTGCGTGGTACCAGCCATATCAATACTCATCCCTCTTTCGGTCATCCAGACTCCAGATGGGGTAGAGACAAGAGATACCAGCCATAACAGGGAGGCATGTCTTTGATTTGGAATTTGTTTCAACTGTTCCCAACATGATGTAAGAGCCTCATCAATGTCCGCTGGTTCAGATAACAGGAGTTGAGACCAGCATGCCCGAGCCACTAGACGCAGGTGTTTTAGCGACTGATTAATAGCATAACCAATTTTAATCGTGTAATCAGCCAATGTAGCATTTGTACCTCTGTTACCCTTGATGTTCCATTCTCATTGGGCAGGATCAAGTTTTAGTTGGATCACCGGTTTGCCTACTTCGAAGAGTTGGCAATAGACTGATCCGTCTAACTGTGGGTTCTCAAAAACTTTGATTTGTTGAAGCACGGATCCTACCGGGGGGTAGATGGTTCGTTATCCGGTATCAGTGAGTTGGGCCCAACAACTGTCAAAGATTGAAACTCTCTTATGCCCTCACTGTTGATTGACATTAACTTCCACACTTGCTTGTGTGGGAGTTGCGAGCCTCCGGACCACGTACTGGGGGGTTCCGTCCCTTCTGGGGTCAGGATTGCCTTCCAGTTGTCAGGGATAGCATCCATGAGTAGGTTTCTCCGCTCCTTGGTAAATCGAACTTGTCTCAGTTGATTTTTTTTTTTTTTTTTTTTTTGAAAACAAGGCTCCAATCTATTCGTGGGGAGCAGCATGTGCTGGGAACTGGGTCCATCGTCGCATATGGAAATGACAACAATTTAGGCAAAGTTCAAAAACGACTCAGAACCCCCCCGTCAATCCTCTTTACCTCACTCCGGCAATCCTTACTGCAACAGAGCCACCATCTCCGTTGTTGCTGTACCCTAACTCCATCCTTTGAGCTAGCCCCCTCACTAGTAGGATGCTTAATATCCAACCATCAACTCCTCTCACCTTTTCTTGAAAAATTAAGAAGACCTCCCCCTGCCAGCATTGATTGCCCCGGAAACCAGTGGATTAACTGAGCAGGGACGATCCTAATAGTATGTAACTTTGGAAAATATTTTGAAAAATATAAAAACATGCAACCTCTGGAACAGTCAACCTAAAAAATTCTGCCTCCATCATCGAAAGGAAAAACCTCAATGGAGTTAATAGCAAGTGGTCGGTACCCGCCAAGATACTTGGCGCC